GAATCAGATTCTAATATCTATTGCCCTTTGATTTCAATCCCTTCAATTTGATAAGCATTACCAAGTACCAATTATGGCCCAGGAGCAGGGACAATGAAGACCAATGAAGACCAATGAAGACCACGGCTTTGCGTATGTGGCAGCAAAGCCGTGGAGGCCATTTACCTGATGTGCTATTCCATACATAACCCTATACTGAATACTTTATGAATCAATAAAAAATTTACATTTTTTGCCCTGGCTGGTTTGGCTCACTGGATAGAGCGTCGGCCTGGGGACTGGAGGGTCCCGGGTTCGATTCCGGTCAAGGGCATGTACCTTGGTTGCGGGCACATCCCCAGTGGGGGGGTGTGCAGGAGGCAGTTGATCGATGCTTCTCTCTCATTGATGTTTCTAGCTCTCTATCCCTCTCCCTTCCTCTCTGTGGAAAATCAATAAAATATATTTTTAAAAATTTACATTTTTTAATTATAAACCTGTGTTTTCTATCAAAATTACTTCTTGCATGAATTTTGGGACACTCTTTACAATAAAGTCACAGAGTAGAAAACCAATGCACAAAAGCCCACTGCCTTCCAGTATGCTAACAACAAAACTTCAGAGAAAGAAATGGAAAAACACACACACACACACAAAAAAAACCAAACCAATGCCTTTTACAATTGTAACTAAAAGAATAAAATAGCTAGGAAGAAACTAAACAAACAATGTCAAAGACGGGGTACTGAAAACTACAAAGCCTTATTAAGAGAGACTGAAAAAGACAACAAAGTGGGAAAATATCCCGTGTTCATGGATTATAAGGATCAACATGGTTAAAATGGCTATATTACCCAAAGCAATATATAGATTTAATGCAGTCCCCATCAAAATCCCTGTCATTTTTTTAAAAATAGAAAAAATCTTGAAGTTTGTATGAAACCACAAAAGGCTACAAATAGTCAAAGCAATCCTGAGAAAAAAGAATTAAGCCAGAGGTCTCACTACCTGACTTCAGATCATACCACAGACTATAATAATCAAAACAGCATGGTATAAGCAGAAAAACAGACACACAAATCAATAGAACAGAATTGAGAGCAAGGGCTGAATCATCTGGAATGGCAAGGGCATTTCCCCAAACCTGAAAAGGGATGATTGCTTGCTGCCAGACAGCTCAGGGCATCTTAATCTAGTTGATGTTATTGCCTCCTACTGGCCAAACACCTGAACAGCCATAGGCAATTCCCCATTCTAACAATGGACCCTGTATACGAAACAGGAAACCTGACCCTTTGATGTGTCTATCTCTACCTTGCCTTAGGATAAATTGTATTAATAAAAAGCAAGGGGTCCTGAGATGAGGAGATCTCAGTTTCTTTAGCTAGACTCCTCTGACCCCCGAATGCCTTTCAAAATTATGCTTCATCTCTGGACTCTTTATTAAGTTACACACAGTCCTTCTCCAGATTGCTGAACCCTTCTTGATGCTGGAACAAGAACCCCAGCACTCTTTGAAACAAATTTTTAGACCTACATGTAGATTTTAATCATTTCACTATTATGTATATATCAAAAGTAAAATATGAAAAAGTCAGTTTAATTTTTAGGGCTCCTTGAAATTTTTGTTCAATTTTTTTGAATCATTTTTCAACACAGAATTGTCAATGCCCATATTTTGTCATGACTTTTATTTTAATAATGTACTTTTGGATCAAAAGGGGTCACATATTTAACTTGACAAGCCCAGAGAAGGCCTGCATGGTGATCTTACAAATTCGACCTAAAGTAACCAGATAGGTTTATGGTGGGCAGTTAGACAGACATGAGCAGAGCAAGGACGATGGGCCAGGTACAGAAGGTCATCAGGATGGAAAGCCCCAGGAGCCTAGCAACAATCAATTGTAGGGGAGCTATCACCCCCAGGGTGACTGTTCTCCTAGCATATTCGTGGTACTTAGATTTGCACCTCCTCCTGTTTCTTCCTTAGAGATAACATCTATACTTCAGTTGTATTTCAGCTCCAGGCCCCCAAAAAGCAACAAAACCAGACCGGTGACCCCATAGTTGCCTTCAGGACCAGCTGCATTGAATAATCACCCCCTGCCCTGGCATTGACTAATCAATCAGTGGAGACCACAACCCTGAAAGGACACACCTGGAAAGCTGCTGAATATTCTATTGAGATCTGCTGGGGCCTCCCTAAAATCTCCATCCTTAAAACTCTAAGGATGGCCGAAACCGGTTTGGCTCAGTGGATAGAGCGTCGGCCTGTGGACTGAAGGGTCCCAGGTTCGATTCCGGTCAAGGGCATGTACCTGGGTTGCGGGCACCTCCCCAGTAGGAGATGTGCAGGAGGCAGCTAATCGATGTTTCTCTCTCATCGATGTTTCTAACTCTCTATCTCTCTCCCTTTCTCTCTGTAAAAAATCAATAAAATATATTTAAAAAAAAAAAACAAAAAAAAAAACTCTAAGGATGGAGGACCAATGAGATCTCCCTCCCAGAAGCAACCTCCGTGCCCCCACTCTCCCTTTCCCTTCTCCGTCCTTGCCCCAGGCATGTTACCATTAGCTTCCTCAGTCTCAAGCTCCAAGGGCCCCTCCTTTACCTCTATAACTCCTTTTCCTCTTCTACGAATTACTTTTTCTACCTCTGTGATTTACCAAATAAATGTTCTCTTACAGTTTGGTTCTTGGCTCTGAATTCTTTCCTAGCCAGAATACCAAGGTTGCTGAACCCAGGTTTGGTCTGATCCCAGGTGCAGTTCCCACCACCTACAATAGGTTGGTCTGACATTAAGACTTTCTAGCTAAAGGCTGGCCATGGTGGGCAGTCACGTCTTAGACTAGAATCTTCCCTGACAAAACTCAATATTTACCTTAATTGAGCCTGTCTAATGTTTTGTGTGTTTTTGTTTTTTTTTTTTAAAATACATTCTTACTGATTTCAGAGAAGAAGGGAGAGGGAGAGAGAGATAGAAACATCAATGATGAATGAAAATCATTGATTGGCTAGCTCCTGCATGCCCCCTGGATGGAGCCTACAACCCAGGCATGTGCCCTGATGGGAAGTGAACTATGACCTCTTGGTTCATAGGTTGATGCTCAACCACTGAGCCAAGAGCCTGGGCCTGTCTAATATTTTTTGCATCAACAATAATATACCTTTGGAATGTCAAGGTAACTTCCCTTTTTCTGGACCCCTCTGGGCACACCTACCACACCAGACCAGAGACCATGAGTCTCTTCATTGTTATTGTTATCATGTTAATTGTTGACTGTTAACTATCCTATACCCACATAGGTAAAGGATGTAAATGTCTATCATTTTACTTTTTATCCAATCCCAGAGGCTCACCCCCCAGTTTTGCTTTCTCTCATCTCCCTAATCTATCACCAATGGGTTTCATGTAACCCATTTAGGTCTTCTATTTTGATTGTATAAAAGGTGCAAAACTGCCAGTCTCTGGAGTATTATCTCAATCTGTTGAACTTTTGCTTCCCGGCAAGTGTCGATAGTTTGGCTCAAATAAACTTACAAATTCTCTACAGGTTTGAACGTTCCTTACATTGACATTCTTTAATATCTAAAAATATTTTCATACCAATACTTAATCTATATAAAACATTCTTTTGTTATTGTTTCCCTTTAAAGTTTATTTTTTAACTTTTTATTGAATTTGTTGTAGTGACATTGGTTAATAAAATTAGATAGGTTTCAAGCGTATAATTCTATAATACATCATCTGTATATTGAATTGTGTGTTCACCAACCAAAGTCAAGTCTCATTCTGTCACCATTTATCCCCTCCTACCTCCTCCCATCCCTCTTTCCTTCTGGTAATTATCATACTGTTGTCTGTGTCTATGAGGTTGGTTTTTTTTTTTTTTTTTTTCTTAATCCCTTCACCTTTTTCATACAGCCCCCAAACTCCCCTCCCCTGACAGCTGTCAGTCTATCCAGGGGTGGGCAAACTTTTTGACTTGAGGGCCACAATGGGTTCTTAAACTGGACCGGAGGGCCGGAACAAAAGCATGGATGGAGTGTTTGTGTGAACTAATATAAATTCAAAGTAAACATCATTACATAAAAGGGTATGGTCTTTTTTTTTTTTTTTAGTTTTATTCATTTCAAACGGGCCAGATCCGGCCCGCGGGCCGTAGTTTGCCCACGGCTGGCTATTCTCTGTATTTATAGGTCTGTTTCTTTTTAGTTTACTTATTTTGTTCATTAGGTTCCACATATCAGTAAAATCCCATGGTATTTATCTTTCTCTGAGAGGTTTGACTTAGCATAATACTCCCAGGTTCACCTCTGTTGTCCCAAAACATAAGGTTTCCTTCTTTTTTATGGCTGAGTAGTATGCAAATAGAAAGAAAACATTATTTTTTTTAAAAAATTACATATGTGTCTCTCTATATATTACATATATATCTTACTGATTTCAGAGAGGAAGGGAGAGGGAGAAACATCCATGATGAGAGAGAATCATGGATCGGCTGCCTCCTGCACGCCCCCTACTGGGGATGGAGCCGGCAACCCGGGCATGTGCCCTTGACCGGAATTGAACCTGGGACCCTTCAGTCCGCAGGCCCTCGCGCTTTCCACTGAGCGAAACCAGCCAGGGCTGAAGGATTCTTAATAAGACACTTTATCCATATATAAAAGTTTAAATCCACTAAGCGTTTGGAAGCAGCGCGCGTTCTTCCTCACAGCACTTCTCTAGGCTCGCTCTCCTGCTTATGCAGCTGCACGTGTCCTTTAAAGATCTTTTCCCCCTTTTGCTCTGCATGATGGTGATGGACTCAGCTGCGTCTCCCAGTCCTCCCAATACACGTTTCCTTTCACGCTGCACTTGGAATTAATTAGAGTCTCGGAAAGCGGCCCAGACAGCAGCGAAGCCCCGACTCCCTTCCCCCACGTGGCCGGAGCCCCGCCGCAGAGGGCGGAGTCCACGGTGACGCGCGAGAAGAGAAGCTGCGCGGCGGGCTGGTCCGCGCGCTCCCGAAAGTGACGCAGGACGTCGCCGTGCGTGCGTGCGTGCGTGCGTGCAGACGGCCGCGTCGGGGTGCAGAAGAAGATGGCGGTCTCCACAGGTCGGTTCTCGGGCCGGGCTGTAGGCTTTCGCACTTGGAACCCGGCTCTGCCACTCCGTCTGCTGCTGGCAGCTGGGCGCGACCATGTGGGTGAAGCCGGAGTGCGCCTTCTCGGACGCCGGGCTCCTGGCGGAGCGAAGCCCGCACCGGGGGAGGTCCGGGCGGGACCTGCGCCCAGGGCCCGGGGCGGCCGTCGGGGGCGACGGGTGGTGCTCGGGCGGCGGCCGCACGCTCGCGGGCTGGGGCGGGGTGGCGCCGGCGCGGGCGCACTCTCGGGGTCCGCGGGTGGCTGTCGGGGTGTGGAGCTCTGGGTGGGCGGGTGTCCACCTGCGGCGAGCGCGGCGGCGTCCGGCGGCGGAGCGTCCCGGTGGTGGGGGGTCCAGTTCTCCCGGACACGGGAGAGGAGAGGCTCCATGAGAAGGGGAGTGTCGCTTTTTTGTAATAACAGAAAGGCGACCCTTCCTACCTCATTGGATCCGAGTTCTCTTCTTTCGTTCAGTGAAACTGCAGTGCAAACTGCATAACATTCAGAAGGAGAGGAGAGCTCATGGGAGAGAGTGGTTTCTGAGATACGCTGCTCAGCTCCGGGCGCCTGGAATGCAATGTTTGGTTTCCTATGAGCACAGACTTTGAAGTTAAGTTTTAACGATAAGGTTTTACAAATTTGACCATTTATTTTTTTAAAAATATATTTTATTGATTTCTTATAGAGAGGAAGGGAGAGGGATAGAGAGTTAGAAACATCGATCAGCTGCCTCCTGCACACTCCCCACCGGGGATGTGCCCGGAACCAAGGTACATGCCCCTGACCGGAAATCGAACCTGGGACCCTTGAGTCCGCAGCCCGACGCTCTATCCACTGAGCCAAACCGGTGAGGGCCAATTTGACCATTTAAAAAGGTGTTAAGTTAAAAAATGTTAAGTTTTATTACTTAAGAATGTTAATTGGATATGATCTTTTGAAACCGGATTATAGGACAGTGTTGAGTTACTCTTTCATGCCTTCATTGCATAATAAATCGAATTTTCAGGTTATGTGCTGAAAGGGGAGGCTTCGGTGTATTGTGATTGGTACTTTTACGGTCATACTTCAAGATACATGCTACCTACATTTTTAACGGAAAATTGTCTCTTAATTCTCATCTTTATTATGTACAGGTGTCATAGATGATCAGATTTTAACGATTTTAGAGTTGGGGAAATATTTCAGTATATTTTGGGTCAGAGCTAACTAATAAAGCAAGAATTATTTAAAAAGTGACGTTTTAGTGTTACAACTTCAATGTACTTGATATTTGAACTTGATTGTGCTTGTGAATGGAGCCGTATCTTTTTAAGAGTTGTACT